ACCTGAAGACCTCTTATTTCCTGCTGCTGGCACTACTCTGAAGAACGCTAGCCGGGATAAGAGGTGAAGTGCAGTTGGTATCACTCCACATGGGACAGGAGCCGGCACTACAGAGGAGGGATCGGCCTATACGGCTCTTGTTCCCTACTGCAGCTCCAACTTTACAAGTAGTCCCTCTGCATTGCACTCTGTTTGATGCTCTGGGATGGCGGATCAGGAAGCAAGTGATCTACCAGTCACCTGGTCACGATCCATTGCTAGATTGCATTCCCACCGAATGACGGCCATAGCACGCTTTTCTAGTTCTGGGAGGGTGTCATATGATGTCCTCCTGTGTGCCCCCAGCGATCTCCGTGACCGCTGCATCCTACAGACACAGCTGATCACGTGATGAGGTAAAAGGCCAATCACAGCGGCCTTTTACCACTTGATCAGCTATGTCCAATGACGCAGCAGACTATGGAGTATATACAGTTGCCAGTTATCAGCAGCACTTTCCTCACACTGTCACAGCGTGAGGAAAGGACTGCCGATAACTGGCCACTGTCACAGAGCAGATCGGCACTGATCATCAGGGCACTAATGATCAACGCCCTGCAGTGCTGTCCAGCAGTGCCACCCAGCAGTGCCTCCCACCTGTGCCCAGAAGTGCCGCCCAGCAGCTCCGCTCATCAGTGTCGCCCATCAGTGCTACTTATCAGTGTTGCCTATCAATGACCATCACTGCTGCATCATCAGCGCCTCTTCATCAATTCCCACCAGTGCCACCTCATCAGTGCAACCTATCACTGCCCATCAGTGCTGCTTATCCATGCCACCTGATCAGTGCTGCCTATCAGTGCAGCCTCATCAACGCACATCAGTTCAGGAGAAAAATTACCTGTTTGCAAAATTTTAAAATAGAAACAAAAAAAAACTTTTTTTGTTTCAAATTTTTTCCTTTATAGTGCAAAACATAAAAATTAAATACCACCAAAAGAAAGCTCTTTTTGTGTGAAAAAAAGGATAAAAATGTCATATGGGTACAGTGTTGCATGACCCGCGCAATTGTCATTCAAAGTGCAACACTGCTGAAAGCTGAAAATTGGCCTGGGCAGGAAGAGGGTAAAAGTGCACGGTAGGCGAGGGGTTAAAGGGACACGACCAATTTAAACAATAATCCAAGTGAATGGTCCCTGTAATTAAAGAGCTTTTCTTCTCACCCTCACCTGTGTCTCCTACCTGCCCTCCGTTCCAGCACTTTAGCCTCCTTTCAGCTTTCGGCTGCCTGTGTCCCCCACCAGGTGTTGTGGTTCTATCTTCTGATCCTGGTGTTACTGCAGGACATGGCAGTGGTGTAGGGGTTGGAGGGTGATGAATGGCTTGTGGCAGAAGGCATTTGACAGGTTTGATGAAGATGAAGAGTCTGATGGAGGCTGCAGTAACGGAGGGGTGGAAGGAGACCCGGGTAGGTGTCCGAGAGGTGAGTACAATCCCTACTATTATGCAGAGCCATACAAAGCAGTGTGCAGGAGCTGACAGGGGAGAGATCTGTGTTGTTTATACACAAGTCTCTCCCCCATTGGAGATACTCAGCGATCACCGTGTGTCGGTGAGAAATCACCGGCCGGGACCCAGTGATTGACAACCAAGGCCGCGAATGGTGCACGGGTAGGACGCTCACGTGCCCCCTACCCAGAACTGCAAAATCATGTATATATTTGTGATTTTACGCACCCGTGCCGCCTTGTTGCAGGATTTTTGCTATAAGGCAGCGCGGAAGCGGTTAAAATGCAAAACGCGTAAAAAATGCACTACATGCATTTCTGCAGCGTCTCCATTGAAGTCTCTGATTCTCAGCCAGGACTCAGTGATTGTCAGCGGAGTTGACAGGGGAGAGGTCTGTGTGTAAACAACACAGATCTCTCCCCTATCAGCACGAACAGGCCGCATTGTTTTGCTCTGCACAGCAGAGCAATACAAAGCAGCTTGTCTACATTCACCATTAAACACAACACAGCACACAGTTAACCCCCAGATGTTAACCCCTTCCTGCCATTAGTGCAGTGTCAGTGCTTTTTATTAGCACTGATCACTGTATTGGTGTCACTGGGGATGTCAGTGGCAGTCAGTTCCCCCCCAGTGTCATAATCAGTCCCGTAGTCCCGCTATAAGTCACTGATCGCCACCATTACTAGTGAAAAAAAATTCCAGTATCTATACCGCCATTTGTAAACGCTATAACTTTCACGTTAACCAAATAATTTACAAGTATTGGGATTTTTTTTAGCAAAGACATGGAGCAGAATACATTTTGACCTAAATTTATGACTAAATTAGATTTTTAAAACTTCTTAATTGGATATGTTTTATAGCAGTGGTCACTAAATGGCGGACCGCGGTCTGGGACCGGACCAAGGGACGGTCCCGTCCGGACTGCAGCCATGCCACCACCACCGCCGGGTGCCCTCCCTCGGGCCCAGGCCCGGACTGGCAATATGATTAGGCCCGCACAGCGGGAGGTAAGCAGCGACCATGGTCTGGACAGGGCTAATACAGACCGCTGCCGCTCACCTCCCACTGTGCGGCTATGCCTAAAGCAGGGTGGACAGGAGGAGCGGCAGTGACGGCTCCAGATGACAAGCAGGAAGGGCCGCTGACACAGGCACACCCCCTTGGCCGGCCGCTTCACTGAAGGGACAATGTTCTGAACGGCCTCTCTTGTTCACCCGCTGGCACACTGTGACAGCTCTGTAGCGGCGGTGGATGGGGCTGTGTCTTTGCTGGATGGGCTGTCTCTTTGCTGAACGGCTGTCTCTGCTAAATGAGCTGTCTCTTTGCTGGATAACTGTCTCTTTGCTGGACGCCGATGTCTCCCCAGTTGGGTCCAGCAAAGAGGCATCCCAATCCAGCAGAGACAGCCCAGTCCAAGAAGGGACATTCCCATCCAGCAAAGAGACATCCCTGTGCAGTAAAGAGACATCCCGTCTTTGCTATGTATTTGGTGGGTTGTGTTAGGGCCGCTGTGTTATGTTAGGGGCGCTGTGTTATGTTAGGGGCGCTGTGTTATGTTAGGGGCGCTGTGTTATGTGGTGCTGTGTTGTGTTAAGGGGTGTTGTGTGTTTTGTTAGGGGTGCTGTGATGTAAAGGGGGAAGTGATTGAAGGGAAAATAGATCACTGTGGGACTTCTTTAAAGAGGGAACTGTGATTAAAAAGTGACTACAGTGTGAAAGGTACACTAAAGATCATAATGTAGCGGGGGACTGTGATGTAGAGGGGACTACAGTGTGAAAGGTACCCGGGGGACTGTGATGTAGATGGGACTACAGTGTGAAAGGTACCCGGGGGACTGTGATGTAGAGGGGACTACAGTGTGAAAGGTACCCGGGGGACTGTGATGTAGAGGGGACTACAGTGTGAAAGGTACCCGGGGGACTGTGATGTAGAGGGGACTACAGTGTGAAAGGTACCCGGGGGACTGTGATGTAGAGGGGACTACAGTGTGAAAGGTACCCGGGGGACTGTGATGTAGAGGGGACTACAGTGTGAAAGGTACCCGGGGGACTGTGATGTAGAGGGGACTACAGTGTGAAAGGTACCCGGGGGACTGTGATGCGTTATACCGCTAGCGAGATTCGGACCTCTGCTGGAAGGAAGTTCTGCTGATCGGACATATACATTTTTTTCAAAATTGTCTTTTTTTGTTTATAGCACAAAAAACAAAAACTGCAGATGTGATCAAATACCACAGAAAGCTCTATTAGTGGGAAAAAAAGATGTAAATTTCATTTGGGTGCGGCGTTGCATAACCGCGCAATTGTCAGTTAACCTCCTTGGCGGTATTCCCGAGTGTAGCTCGGGGTAAAATTTCAGTACCAAAAGCGGTAACCCCGAGCTACACTCGGGCTTACCATGCGGCGTTGCTCAGGGGGTCCCTGCAGCACTTACCTTGTCCTTCGCTCCTGCGATGTGTCCCCTGCAGCGTCCCCGGCCATCTCCTCTGGCCGATGCCGGCATCCGGCTTCCGTGTTCCGGTCCCTGTGACGTCGGGACGTACGGGGGACCGGAACAAAATGTCATTTTTTTTTAAAAATAATTATTATATAGTAAAACATTGCTGTTTCAATGCATTTCACATACATTTTGTCCCTACTGCTTTGTCCGGCGCCCTGCCTGCATTTTTACCGTTCTTTCTGCCTGGAAACTGAGAAACGTCCATGGCATCCAAAAAGCGTCTCTTTACGTCAAAAGCGGTTTTCGATCAGAACAGCGATTGTAAATCAGAACCACTTGCAGAATTGAGTGATAATGATTCGTGGGGGAAATTCGTCATCAGACACTGAAAACGATTTTGCGACTTTGCTCAGCGATGTGCGAATTTGTCTCTGTATTTCAAATTTCAGTGTTTTTGGTTTGATTATATGATTGAATTAAATTTATTATTATTATATTATTATTTTTTATGATTATTTATTAAATTATAATTTATGATTTTGTGTTTCAAGTTTTATCATATCCGGAATGTTTACTAGACTCTTGTTCGGACAGATTTCAGTGAGTTATTCCTAAAAATTACAGCCTACAATAAAAAAACGACATATTTCCATGCAAAAAAAATGTACCGCTTTCAGCACAAAAATCGGAAATAATCAGACCGCCGAGGAGGTTAAAGTAACGCAGTGCCGTATCGCAAAAAAAATGCCCTGGTCAGGAAGGGGAGGGGGAGTCATCTGGAGGCCAAGTGGTTAAAGGGTAAATTTACCTTTTCATAAAAAACAAAAAGGTGAACTAATTCCAAATATCCTGGCCTCCTCTCCGGACCCCATTGCTCATAGCTCACCGCAGTACACAGCCCTGGAATGGGTATCCGTCATAAGGCTCACAATGGGGTCATAGAATACATACCAGCAGAAATCTCAGCTCTCCCCCACTCTGTGGTTAGTTAGGTCCCTAACTCATGTTTTATGAAAAGTTATATATTACAATGCAAATAGTCATTTTCTGTATGTCATTGTTATAATCATGGATCGCTAACCAGTCCTGACCTCTGACCCCTGCAGGCCGCACTGATGGGAGGCACCACCATGATCATCGGTCACGTTCTTCCGGATAAAGACATCTCCTTGCTGGACGCGTATGAGAAGTGCAGGAGCCTTGCCGATCCCAAAGTTTGCTGTGACTACGCTCTGCACATGGGTGTCACCTGGTGGGGACCCAAGGTAAGGGCACACACACACACATACATTTAAAAAGTGCAAACATATCACAAGGATGTTGGAAAAGTAATACCATGTATTACCAAGGCTCGCCAATTGTAGAGCTTGTTAAATTGGCAATAGTGAGGAACACTGGCATCTAGAACATTTGTCATCTTCACGGGGGAAGTATGTATACCTAATTTGCATACCTGTTGAAACTAGTATGTACATTTGTTGAGTGTGAATCAGGGGCGGACTGACCATTTGGAAACTCAGGCACTGCCCGAGGGCCCAGAGTCAGTAGGGGTCCCCATGAGATGCCCCTGGTACCTTTTTCTTAGGCTTTTTTGAGTTTGGGCAAGGACACAGGGGCCCCATGATCCCCTATTGCCCGGAGGCCCCATGAGTTGTCAGTCCGCCCCTGGTGTGAATGGAGTAACATTGAATGTTCTCAGGCTATTTCTTCTTCAAGACGAATACTCGGGGCCGGTGCTAGACTTTTCTGCGCCCTAGGCAAGACCAGCTACTTACGTCACCCCCCCCTTCCCAAAAATATAAATAAATAAATAAACATTTTCAAAAACAGTGGAAAATATTAAATCAAGAAAACATAAAACTGCTAAATTTCTTATGATTTGCAAAAATAAGTGCCATAAGATGCCACCAGCACCAATATTAAAGAAACAATCCGTGTCCCGGACGGACAGTATCTGTGGCTGGCAGTGGCCGGGTGACAGTTGCAGTGAGTGGAGGATGATGGATCCACACTCTGGCAGATCCCAGGCTGGAATTCTCCAGTCAATGGGGGGAGGTAAAACGCTGTGACAGCAGGCAGCTGAACTAAGACAGATCCGACACCACCAACACTGACACAGATCAGCAGGCACTAGAAGAGCAGGCTGTGGGATCGTGATGATGTCATGACTCACTGACACATTACACATGTGATGGATGTCCGGCCGGACGGGTCACACTCACAAAGACACGAGACATCAGAGTTAGACATTACCTTCCTCCGCAGGCGCAACTCCACCTCTGCTGATGAATGGGAAGAGAAGGGCTGGAACTCCACAGTGATCAGCAGCCGGCTTTCTGTAAGTGACTGAGTCTGAGAGGAACACTGGAAGGAGCAGCAGCTCAGCTGCTACACTGTCAACAGACACTCAGCATCTTCTTCTGTCCTTTCTTCTTCCTCTCTACCTCCCTTCCCCTCAGCTGAGGGATCATTCATGACATGGCGGCATCCCACACAGAGAGAGTGCCAGCCTGTGCTGCACCCAGGCGCCCTTTGGTGGCAGTGCACCCTAGGCGGCCACCTAGTTTGCCTAGTGGAAGAACTGGCCCTGCAAATACTTCCTATTCATGAAAAACAAGGGGTTTGGGAAAATAACACTTAGACACTAGATAGCAATGAAGATTTTAGAAAATAAATACTCAGTTCCTGTGATCTTTAGCGCCATATTGTGTCCAAAGTATGGTATTTTCCAGAACCAGTCAGTTTTCATGAATGAGAAACTTTCGACCTAAACAGGAAATAGCCTGAGAACACTTGATTTATGCCTCATTCACACAGAACAAATGTACGTGTCAGTTCCACCAGATGTATGGCTCAGCAAATTCTTTTATAAATAGACTCCCTGGTGTAGTTTGCAATTCTTAAAGCACAAACTGCAAATTTAGGCACCGATGTACAAAAAAGTGCAGCGCTGTAAAATGAATTTAAATCGTATAAATATTGTGAAATCACAAAAAACTCTGAAGCGCATTAAAAAAAATAACGTATTTCAATGTCCATATTTGAATACAGGACAACTAGAAAACACTACTCATGAATAAAAGAAGTTCCTTTAGTGAATTTCAATCCAAACAGTGCAACAGAAAACCCTTGCACAGGGCGTAATGGAACCTTCACAAAACGTTCTTCCACCAATCAGAAGAGAGAAGATAGAATCCACCAAACACCACAATGTGTGCAGATGATCCGTTTGTCATTGAAGACCCACACCGGAGTGTCTCACTCCTATACCTCACACTCCGCAAAGGGATCATGTGATCAAAGATGGAAGAAAACCTCATAGTATAGTAAAAACCAGTATAAAATGTATTACATGGTAAAGAAAACTCACATAATATAATAGCCACACAGGCTGCACTGCGTAAGAGATGGCAGGGCATCAATCCTCCACTCATGTTCGGCAAATAGCCCACTTCTGGGTTGCGATGTGCGTAATAGCGTCACCTCTGTTGGCCTTGACTGACGCGTTTCGTCATCACAGACGTCATCAGGGGAAATTGGCAAATTAGGCATTGGATGATTATTATGAGGAGGATTTATCGTGTCACATGTAGGGCATTCATTTCAATGGGCTGCCCTATCCATGGGAAACACGAGGAAAGAAGTCCCCAGACTTTTTCACCTGGGGTTAAGACTCAGTTCAGTGCCCTACCCCCCCCCCCCCCCCCCTTCCTCAAAACAGGATGGTGTCAGTAGTTTTTTTTTATCCTTTTCAACTCATTTTCATGTATTTATTTTTTAATTGTTCTATTTTTTTACAATATTATCTTTCCAATATTGTTTATGTTTATGTTGCATCATCTGTGTCTCCCTTACATCAACCCCCCCCCCACCTTTACATCTGTGTCTCCCTTGCTTCAGAGTCCTTCATTACTTTAGAATCTCCCTAACATCAGTGCCTCCCTTACATTAGTGTCCCCTTACTTCAGTTTCTCCCATTACTTTAGAATCCCCCCTAACATCAGAGTCCCAACTTACATCAGTGTCGAACCCCTTATATCAATGCATCAGCTTACATTAGTATCCCCCTTTAAATCAGTGTCCTTCCTTGTATCAGTGTCCCCCCCCCCTTACATTAATGCCCTATCTTAAATCAATGCCCACCTTTACATCTGAGTCCTTCCTTACATTAGTATTCCCCCCTACTTCAGAGCCCCCCCTTAAATCAGTTTCTCTCCTTTATATCAGTGTCCCCTCTTAAATCAATTTCCCCTTACATCAGTGTCCCCCCCGTACATCAGTGTCCCTCCTTACATCAATTTCCCCCCTTTACATCAGAGTCCTTCCTTACACCAGTATATTCCCTTCTTACTTCAGAGCCCCTCCTTACATCAGTTCCCCCCCTTTATGTCAATGTCCCCTCTCACATCAATTCCCCCTTACATCAGTGTCCCCCCCTTGCAATTGTGCCGTCCTTGCTTTAGAGTCCCCCCCTTACATCAGTGTCCCTCTTACTTCAGAGCCCCTCCTCATATCAATTCCCCATCTTACATCACTACCCCCCCCCCCCCTTTATATCCCCTTTACATCAGTGACCCCCTTCTTACATCAGTTTCCTCCTTTATAATCAGTGACCCCTTCTTACATCAGTTTCCTCCTTTATATCAGTGTCCCCTTCTTACATCAGTTCCTCCCTTTATATCAGTGTTCTCTTCTTACATCAGTTCCTCCCTTTATTTTAGTGTCCCCTTCTTACATCAGTTTCCTCCTTTATATCAGTGTAAATGTGGAAGTTGTGTCCTTCTCTGGGTGCTGGTGGGGTGGCCCAAATAAGTGATGTCATTGGTTGCTAGGATGCCAGCGGTCCTAGCAACCAAGGACTGGGGGGGGGGCAGAGTTTTGGAGCCCCAGGCACTGCAGTTGTAGTAACACGAAACAGATCTTTGAGCTGTACCTGCTCTTGGAGCTGTCGTCTGCACCTCAAATATCTGCCCTGTGGGGGGGGCACTTTGGGGTCATCAGCGCTGCGTGACAGCCTGCAGAACTGACACAAGTAGCAGGGGCAGGGCTCTCCCGTGTCTTCCCTAGCACAGCAAAACATGTGGCATCTGAGTTGCAACACCCCCTCCTGCATCAGGCCCTCACCCCTCTGCATTTCCAGAGCTCCTTGGGACAAATCATTGGTGCTGTGAACTGGCGCCAGGAGCTGACAGGGCAAGAAAGGGGGGTGTATGTTCCTCTGCATACTCTGTACTGGCCCCACTCTTACGACTTTGCTCCCTCTTTGAGCATCTGCCAACATACAGGTGCCTTGCACCCCCACTTCTGTCCTCTCTGACTCCCATTGATCCCTGGCGCATGGGGATGCCCAAGGGCCAGCCGCCAACATAGCAAAAAAAAGCAAGGGGGCCAACAGAAAGTTACCTGACCGGTTCTCTGTGATGAGGAGCGCTGTGCTGACAGGAAGGAGGAGGGGGAGAGAGAACACAGCGGGCGCCTTCTCCCGCCTCTCTACTCATCGCTCTCAGTGCTGGGCTGACAGGAAGGAGGAGGTGGAGAGAGAACACAGAGGGCGCCTTCTCCCAGCTCTTTCTTTCTTGCTCCCAGCGCTGGGCTGACAGGAAGGAGGAGGGGGGGAGAGAGAACACAGCGGGCGCCTTCTCCCAGCTGTCTCCTTCTCGCACCCAGCACTGGGCTGACAGGAAAGAGGAGGGGGAGAGAGAACACAGCTGGCGCCTTCTCCCAGCTCTCTCCTCCTCGCTCCCAGCGCTGGGCTGACAGGAAAAAGGAGGGGGAAAGTGAACACAGTGGGCGCCTTCTCCCTGCTCTCTCCTCCTCGCTCCCAGCGCTAGGCTGACAGGAAAGAGGAGGGGAGAGAGAGAACACAGCGGGCACCTTCTCCCTGCTCTCTCCTCCTTTCTCCCAGCACTGGGCTGACAGGATAGAGAGGGGAGAGAGAACACAGCGGGCGCCTTCTCCCTGCTCTTTCCTCCTTTCTCCCAGCGCTGGGCTGACAGGAAAGAGGAGGGGAGAGAAAACACAGCGGCGCCTTCTCCCTGCTCTTTCCTCCTCGCACTGAGCGCTGGGCTGACAGGAAAGAGGAGGGGGGAGAGTACACAGCGGGTGCCTTCTCCCTGCTCTCTCCTCCTCGCTCCCAGCACTGGGCTGACAGGAAAGAGGAGGGGAGAGAGAACACAGTGGGCGCCTTTTCCCTGCTCTCTCCTCCTTTCTCCCAGTGCTGGGCTGACAGGAAAGAGGAGGGGGAGAGAAAACACAGTGGTGCCTTCTCCCAGCTCTCTCCTCCTTGCTCCCAGCGCTAGGCTGACAGGAGTAGTGAAGTTGCTCTCAACTACTCCTGTAAGCCACGGTACCCTCTTAATGTTGCACCCTAGGCATATGCCCCCCCCCTGCCAACCCCATTTTCTTCCCTGACTCTTTTGTAAAATCACGCAGCACCATGCAGTGGGGTGTGGGTTTGCTGTTGTGTGAGGCACCCTCATGCATCTGCTAAAGAGTGGTGCACTTCTGTGCATGTCACATTCCCAGCACACGCAGGTGTGAACCAAGCGTTCGATTTGTAAAGTATTGTTGAATCTCCAACTAGGTAACATCTGAACTCCTGTGTACGAATGCTCCCTGGCAGATCTTGAAACTGAACTCTTTGAACTAAAACATGTATTTAAATATATTTCTAAATAGTCTCAAGGTATATAAATCTGCTTTGTGTGCACCACATAGTTTTGCAGACCCAGATATTATATTCAGTATATACTGTAGATATCTACCATGTAAAGGTAGCAATGAATTCATCCCTGTGCTCTACGTAGAATGTGCAATGACCAGAGCTGTGGGAGGGGCCCAGTAGGTGCCACCCACTACAGACTGTCCATAGAAAACTACAGGAGGGGGCGGAGACCAGACCGGTCACCCTGCACAAGGAGAGAGAGCAGCAGTGGGTTACTCCACAGATCTGGAAGAAATACATAAAGCACACAAAAGGAAGAATACAGATGACAAATGTATTTAGACAATATTTACTTAGCCAACTTTAACCACTTTGACCTCTGGAACGTTTTACCCCCTTCATGACCAGGGCATTTTTTGCTATTGAGCACTGCGCTACTTTAACTGGCAATCGCGTGGTCATGCAGCACTGTACCCAAATTAATTTTATATAAAAAAATTTTCACAGAAATAGAGCTTTGTTTAACCTGCTGGGCCTTGACGCTGAGAGACCGCATATTTGCGTACCCCAAATAAAATCGCTACCCCAAATAAAATCGCTACTTGCAATCGGGACCTTTTCGATCATGTGACAGCCAATCACGGCGGTCACATGACCCTAGACTCTTGCCTGGCCTCTTTTTTCATTTTCTACAATAATAAATAAAAACCCAGTGGTGATTAACCCCTTGACGCCTGCGCCTCCGGCCCTTTAAGGGGTTTGTGATGCCAGGAGGCGCAGGCGTCAAGGGGTTAATCACCACTGGGTTTTTATTTATTATTGTAGAAACAGAAAAAAGACCATAAACACTTTCTGTTATAAAACATATCAAACAGTTGTTTTGGCCACGCCTAATGTTTTTGCTATCTCTCTGATGGGTTTGTTTTTGTTTTTTTCAGCCTAATGATGGCTTGCTTCACTGATAGTGACAGCTCTTTGGATCTCATCTTTGGAGTTGACAGCAACAGATTCCAAATGCAAATAGCACACTTGAAATGAACTCTGGACCTTTTATCTGCTCATTGTAATTGGCATAATGAGGGAATAACACACACCTGGCCATGGAACAGCTGAGAAGCCAATTGTCCCATTACTTTTGGTCCCTTAACAAGTGGAAGGCACATATGCAAACTGTTGTAATTCCTACACCGTTTACCTGATTTGGATGTAAATACCCTCAAATTAAAGCTGACAGTCGGCAGTTAAAGCACATCTTGTTTGTTTCATTTCAAATCCATTGTGGTGGTGTATAGAGTCAAAAATGTTAGAATTGTGTCGATGTCCCAATATTTATAGACCTGACTGTATATAGACAGAGTTCTGTGTGTTTTGTAAACACAGAACTCAGTGCTGTGATTGGACGCAGCCGATCAGCAGGTTTCAGCCAAAATCATGGGCTGAAATCTGATGCCAAACTGTGTCCAATCACAGCACGGGTCGGCAGGGGGCGTTTATTCCCCCCCCAAACCTAGAAGAAGGTGACTGTGCCCGTACCTCTTGCAGTGTATTTACTATGAGCGGTCGGCGGGGTGGTCGAAGTGTTTGTCTCCAGCTTTGAGGGTTTATTTTCCGATCCTAGGATGATCAGATGTGTAGTTCCATGTTCAAGTGCTGAACAGCAGATCAGCATGGCAGCGGCCATGTTTGTCTCAGGAACTGTGTCCCGTATAATGTCAGGCAATGCTGGGATGTCAGGCACATTTCTTTGTGGATATTGTTTTGCAGGGTTTGGCCTTGTCATGTATATGTCACCTTTTCTCTCCGGTTGTCTCTTTCCTGCAGGTGAAGGCGGAGATGGAGACCTTAGTACGAGAGAAGGGGGTCAACTCCTTCCAGATGTTCATGACCTACAAGGATTTGTATATGCTGCGGGACAACGAGCTCTACCAGGTCTTCCGGCACTGTAAGGACCTGGGGGCCGTAACCCGAGTCCATGCAGAGAACGGGGACTTGGTGTCTGAGGTGAGGACCTGTCATCGGGCAGCATGGAAGTGTCATCCACATCATGTCAGGGAACCAAATCATAGAATATTAGACATTAGATGATGTGTGGTCTGGCTGGATGAAGGGTCCTTTAGGAAGTATTTATCATGGATTCATGGAGCACAGTCTTCCCATTCAGTACATTTTCACCAAGGCATTGCTGTGCTGCTTCAGTCCTACACATGGATCATGAGATCCCCTCATATGGGCACAGCAGGTGTACAGAACTGGGAACTCGGCACATGGATGGTGGGAACCCTTCATAACAGACACAGAGTGTATAAAGACCCAGGAACTCAGCACAGGGATGGTGGGAACCCCTCATAATGGGCACAGCAGGTGTACAGACCTGGGAACCCAGCACATGGATGGTGGGAACCCTTCATAATGGACACAGCATGAATTGGGGTGTAAAGACCCGGAAACTCAGCACAGGGATGGTGGGAAACCCCTCATAATGGGCACAGCAGGGTGTACAGACCCGGGAATTCAGCACAGGGATGGTGGGAAGCAAACCCCTCATAATGGGCACAGCGGGTGTACAGACCTGGAAACTCAGCACAGGGATGGAAATCTCTGGCACATGCTAACATTTTTGTTGACACATCTACAATAAGGAAAACATTAAACAAGAATGGAGTACATGGGAGGGCACCACGGAGGAAGGCAAAATATACTGTGGACAGATGAAACCAAGATTGAGTTGTTTGAGGAAGAACACACAACACTATGTGTGGATGAAAAAAAAGGACAGCACACCAACATCAAAACCTCATCCCCACTGTGAAACATGGCGGAGGGAGCATCATTGGTTTGGGGCTGCTTTGCTGCCTCAGGGCCTGGAAAACCCCTCATAATGGGTACAGTGGGTGTACAGACCCGGGAACTCAGCACAGGGGAAATACAACCAGGAACAGGAAACACATCAGCAGGCCGTCCCATCAGGGGGAAGGGCTGGGGAAACACCCCCCACCAAACACAAGATATATACACAGGGCAGGGAAATACAACCAGGAACAGGAAACATCACATGCCATCCCATAAGGAGGGAAGGGCTGCTGGAAACACCCCCCAGAAAACACAAGATATATACACATGCTGGGCGGGGGAATACAACCAGTAACAGAAAACAACATCATCAGGCTCTCCCAGCATTTGGGGGGAAGGGCTGCCGGAATCACCCCCCACCAAACACAAGATATATACACAGGGCGGGGAAATACAACCAGGAACAGGAAACACATCATCAGGTCCTCCAAACACAGGGGGGGGAAGGGCTGCCGGAAACACCCCCCCACCAAACACAAGATATATACACATGGGGCTGGGGAATACAACCAGGAACAGGAAACAGGGCTGCCGGAATCACCCCCCACCAAACACACAAGATATATACACAGGGCAGGGGAAATACAACAGGAATACATCAGCAGGCCATCCCATCAGGGGGAAGGGCTGCCGGAAAACACCCCCCACCAAACACAAGATATATACACAGGGCGGGGAAATACAACCAGGAACAGGAAACACATCAGCAGGCCGTCCCATCAGGGGGAAGGGCTGCCAGAAAACCCCCCCCACCAAACACAAGATATATACACAGGGTGGGGAAATACAACCAGGAACAGGAAACACATCACAAGTCATCCCATCAGGAGGGAAGGGCTGCCGGAAACACCCCCCACCAAACCAAGACACAGAACAGTGGGATACACCACCTGGGAGTAGACAATAGGGGAACACATGCATCCCATAATAGTTTGCTGGCAAGCAAGACACAATAGAACAATGGGGCAACCACCTGGCAGTGAACAATGGACAACCCCCCACCTATACATGTCTACACAATATCCAGACAGAGCACCCTGCGCCCCTATCAGGCACAGGGTGGGCTACACATAAGAGGAACAACAGGGGTCCCCTCACCCCCAAAAGTCACTTGCGTCACAGAGCCATACATTTTGTATGCCTCTAATCGCACCGCATCTGCAGCAGAAACGTGCAGGACCCTTTTTTTTTTCGATCCGCGCTAGAATCGGATCTCATGGGTAGTCACACCAATGCAATTCGATTCTGCACATCGCACTGCGTTTTGCGGACCGATTTCGGGTGTGTTGTTTAACCTAACATACACACCCGCAGTGGTTCGCATGACGGGGTGTGATTGTGATGCGGTGCGGAATTCACACTGAAAACGCTGCGAATTCCGCACCGTCAGTGTGAACCCGGGCTCAAAGGTTATAACTGCATATTCAATCTTGTCTGAAAAGCAAAAGTGCGCTCAACATGTTCAACTGACCGAAAGAGACAAAAGGACATTGAACAGGATTGTGACCCGGAATAAGAACACAAAAGCTGCAAAAGTGACTGCAGAGCTCAATCTCAGTCTTCACAGTACTCTACAGTCTTCATGGGACTAAGATTGAGCTCTGCAGTCACTTTTGCAGCGGTCCTTTTCTTAATCCGGGTCGCAATCCTGCGCAATGTCCTTTTATCTCTTTTGGTCAGTTGATCATGTTGACGGCACTTTTGCTTTTCAAACGTTGTTTTCCCCGGAAACTGTATCTGTCGTCATCACCTTTTGATCCTGGACCTCACGACACGGCAAATAAATTGGCGACTTCAGTCACAGAGGCACCAGCTAAGCGGCACCAATAATTTGTCCTCTTTGAAGCTCAGTAAGCTCCGACATGACTCCTTATTACTAGCAGCGCACACAGTGAATGAAGAAAGTGAGGCTTCCCACCTGTTAGCTAGGTGTCTCATCACACAGCAGAAGCAAAAGAATGTTACATCACTTCCGCTTTCAAGGCGTAACATGTCGCTTTCACAGCTGCAAGTCATGCAGTATTTTCGGGGTTTTTTTTGTCCAACCTCTGTCTAGGATCACACTGTAGCAGGTGTTGTATCAGTAACTGTCAGGCATCTGGATCCTTCGTGCCCCTCGGGTTCCATTGGCATGCAGGGCTGGGTGTTTCCAAGCTGCCTTCTATTCTATGATTGGGTCTGGAGAAAAGGCGTGGACTGATTACTGCACATCTCATTGGTCTCTGTAAACTGGCATTATTTTCAGTGAAGAAGACAAGGAGAGTCTGGGAAGTGTGTAAACCGAGCTGAGAGCTCCATCCGCTGGCTGAAAATGAGACTGTAAAATATAGAGGAGATTTAATATTCGCTGGCAAAAAATCGGATTTCATATTTCTTTATTAGCACTAACCTTAATAAGTAATGGAAAAAAAATATATATAAATTCACACTTTGCTTTTATGAACAAGTTCATCTTTTTTTTACTTGCAGGGTGCCAAGGAGACTCTGGATTTGGGAATCAGTGGCCCTGAGGGCATCGAGATTAGCCGACCCGAGGAGGTAAATAAATCTGCCTTCTTCACGTCTATTCCGCTTTTGATGCCAGGAGGACATCTGAAGTCTCTCTATATAGCAGATCTCAGTGGTAACCAATAGATCACCATTGTGAATTCTGAGACTTACCATAATCAACCAGCAGGGGTGAGCTCAGGTATGTTTGAACCCGCCTGAGCTATCCCGCCAGAAAGTTGTCAAAGCAGACAGCCAACCATAGGCAGTGGAGGCACTCCCTGCCCTGCAGCTGCACGTATGCATGGAGCCAAGTGTATGTGCGACTGCGGTGTAACCAGTTACCCAGTTGTTGATGCTGGGTTTGCTACGCCTGCCCAAAACACGTTTGGGTGTGCTACACCTGCCTAAAACTCAATGGGTGTGCTACACCTGCCTAAAACACGTTGGGTGTGCTACACCTGCCTAAAACACGTTGGGTGTGCTACACCTGCCTAAAACACGTTGGGTGTGCTACACCTGCCCAACACACAGTGGGTGTGCTACACCTGCCCAACACGCGGTGGGTGTGCTACACCTGCCCAACACGCGGTGGGTGTGCTACACCTGCCTAAAACACGTTGGGTGTGCTACACCTGCCCAACAGACGTTGGGTGTGCTACACATGCCTAAAACAACTTGTCCTTGTGCCCTGCTAATGCTACGAATATTAACAGAGGTGTCATTTTACTTTGATTTAAAGTGAAACTCCACCCTGGTAATAGTTGAAATTCTCATATGTAAATGGCTGTAAAAATGTGGCATGCCTGATATTTTTGCTCCCTGCCACACTATACAGCTGGGGAGTGACACCAATATGCATTGCCTGGTGCTCTGGCCTTCCTTTGTCACATCCCAAAGCCTTGCCTGCTGATTGGATTATGAACAAGCATCATGCATCTGATACAGTCCTCCTGAACCTTAAAGAGAACCAGTCACCAATGGGAATCTGTTAGAATATGGTCCCTGGGATTGTGACCTTCTCTTCCTGTTCCTGTCATGCGTAGTATTGGGGTCAGTCAGATGTCAGATGTGCTGCAGGTCGCAGAAAGATATTTAATAGCGATTTTCAGGTCAACAGTACACCCCCCAACAACAATAGACCCCTGCAAGCAACAATAAATCTCCCAGCAACCAATATCAATAAACCCCTTTTCAGCAGTAAATCCATCCCTCTAACATAAGATCCCCCAACAACAATAGATCTCCTAGACAAACAATAGATTCCCCATAACAACAGATCCCTAGTAACAATAGATCCCTGCAAGCAACAATAAATCTCCTAGCAGTCAGTATCAAAAGACCCCTCCCTCAACAGTAGATCCATCACAGCAACATAAGACCCCACGCAACAATAGATCCCCAATCAGCAACAATAGACCTGCTAGGTAAGCAATAGATCCCCTACAACAATAGACCCCTGCAAGTAACAATAAATCTCCCAGCAGCCAGTATCAGTAGACCCCTCCCTCAACAATAAATCCATCCCAGCAACATAGTATCCCCCCAGCAACATTAGATCCCCTCTAGCAATAACAGATCCCCAATCAGCAACAATAGACCTCCTAGGCAAACAATAGATTCCCCACAACAATAGACCCATAGTAGCAATAGATCCCTGCAAGCAATAATAAATCTCCTAGCAGTCAGTATCAGTAGACCCCTCCCTCAACAGTAGATCCATCAAAGCAACATAAGACCCCCTCCAGCAACAACAGATCCCCAATCGGCAGCAATAGACCTCCTGGGCAAACAATAGGTCCCGGGCAATAGACCCCCCTCCACCAATAGACCCCTGCAAGCAACAATATATTTCCCAGCAGCCAGTATCAAAAGACCCCTCCCTCAACAGTAGATCCATCCCAGCAACATAAAACCCCATCGAGAAACAACAGATCCTCAATCAGCAGCAATAGACCTCCTTGGCAAACCATAGATCCCCACAACATAAGACCCCCCAGTAACAATAGACCCTTGCAAACAACAATAAAGCACTCAGCAGCCAGCATCAGTAGACTCCTCCCTCAACAGTAGATCCATCCGAGCACCAGAAGACCCCCTCCAGCAACAACAGATCCTCAATCAGCAACAATAGACCTCCTAGGCAAACAAATTCCCCAACAACAATAAATTCCCCAGCAACAATCGACCCCAGCAAGCCAGGATCAATAGACCTCCCAACAGTAGATCCATCTCAGCAATGTAAGACCCCCCCACCACCAACATAAGACCACCCCAGCAACAATAGATCCCCAGTCAGGAACAATAGACCTCCTAAGCAAACAGTAGAACCCATACAACAATAACCCCCCAGTAACAATAGATCCCTGCAAGCAAAATAAATCTCCCACCAGCCAGGATCACTATCCCCCCCTCCTTAACAGTAGATCCATCCCAGCTATATAAGAGCCTCAGAAACAATAGATCCCCAGACAGGAACAATAGACCTCCTAGGCAAACATGAGATCCCCTACAACAATAGACCCTCCAGAAACAATAGACGCCTGCAAGTAACGATAAATCTCCCAACAAATCTCCCTGCATCACCCCATGTTCTTGCTGGAAAAGAAAGCCCTGGAGATGCTGCTGCTTCCGGTGTCATCTATCTGATCACTGGACAAAGAAACAGCAGTATGTTGATTTGCAGGCAGGTGACACTGGAAGTTGCACATATTGAGGTGGTCACCCTTCCTCGTGTCAGGAGTGTGAGTTATAGACTGGCTGAACACAATTGCATAATCTAGTCACCTTTCCGGCTTCCACAGTACATGGGGTGATATCACCCTCCTCCCGGAGACTCTGGGGAGTGCAGAGTCGCACATATCTAGCGGGAAGATGAAGCACAATGCAGGGTCATCTAAGATGTGTCTGGAAGCAGGGAGGACGCCACGGGAGGAAGACAAGAATGCGGAGTAAATGATCTATTCTTCCCCCCAGTGGGGACTGCTGTGCAGCAATTTGGGGGGGGGGGGGGGCAACTTGGTTAAGAGGACCTTACCACTGAGGTGTATGATAAGTTTGCAGAAAGAGGAGACAGTTGTTTGATGTAACATTGATGTGACTTTTATCTTCTATACAGCTGGAAGCAGAGGCCGTTCACAGGGCAATAACCATCGCTAATAGGGTGAGAGCTGTGACCTGCGACCTGTGTGCTGTACCCTATGACCTGTGTGTTGTACCCTATGACCTGTGTGCTGTACCCTATGACCTGTGTGATGTACCCTATGACCTGTGTGATGTACCCTATGACCTGTGTGATGTACTCTGTGACCTGTGTGTTGTACCCTATGACCTGTGTGCTGTACCCTCTGACCTGTGTGTTGTACCCTATGACCTGTGTGTTGTACCCTATGACCTGTGTGCTGTGTGATGTACCCTATGACCTGTGTGCTGTATGATGTACCCTATGACCTGTGTGCTGTGTGATATACCCTATGACCTGTGTGCTGTACCCTATGACCTGTGTGCTGTACCCTATGACCTGTGTGCTGTACCCTATGACCTGTGTGCTGTACCCTATGACCTGTGTGCTGTACCCTGTCACCTGTGTGCTGTACCCTATGACCTGTGTGCTGTACCCTATGACCTGTGTGATGTACCCTATGACCTGTGTGATGCACCCTATGACCTGTGTGCTGTACCTTATGACCTGTGTGATGTACCCTATGGCCTGTGTGCTGTACGCTATGACCTGTGTGCTGTACGCTATGACCTGCGTGCTGTACCCTATGACCTGCGTGCTGTACCCTATGACCTGCGTGCTGTACCCTATGACCTGTGTGCTGTACCCTATCACCTGTGTGCTGTGTGCTGTACCCTATGACCTGCGTGCTGTACCCTATGACCTGCGTGCTGTACCCTATGACCTGCGTGCTGTACCCTATGACCTGCGTGCTGTACCCTATGACCTGTGTGATGTACCCTATGACCTGTGTGATGTACCCTATGACCTGTGTGATGCACCCTATGACCTGCGTGCTGTACCCTATGACCTGCGTGCTGTACCCTATGACCTGCGTGATGTACCCTATGACCTGCGTGATGTACCCTATGACCTGTGTGATGTACCCTATGACCTGTGTGATGTACCCTATGACCTGTGTGATGCACCCTATGACCTGTGTGCTGTACCCTATCACCTGTGTGCTGTACCCTGTGACCTGTGTGCTGTACCCTGTGACCTGTGTGATGTACCCTATGACCTGTGTGCTGTACCCTGTGACCTGTGTGCTGTATCCTGTGACCTGTGTGATGTACCCTATGACCTGTGTGCTCTATCCTATGACCTGTGTGCTCTATCCTATGACCTGTGTGCTCTATCCTATGACCTGTGTGCTCTATCCTATGACCTGTGTGCTCTATCCTATGACCTGTGTGCTCTATTCTATGACCTGTGTGCTGTTTCTGCTTTACCTTATGACCTGCATGCTGTGTCCCATGACCTGTGTGCTGTATCCCATGGCCTGTGTGCTGTGTCCCATGACCTGTGTGCTCTATCCTATGACCTGTGTGCTGTGGCCCATGACCCTCATTCTGTGGCCTTTGTCCTGCATGCTGTTTCCTGTGTTCCGCATGCTGTGACCTGTAACCTTAATTCTATGCCCTGTGACGCGGGTGTGATGCAGGACCTATTTATAAAGATTGGCAATATAACTGCTTCTCTACTCCATTCAGCCTGGTCAGCCTTCTATGTTTAAAAGTGTGACCCTGAAGTATTTGTCACACTTAAATGATTCAGATCATCAAACAAATTTTAATATTACACGAAGATAACCCGATTATATACAGAAAACTGTCCATACCTGCCTAACCCTGTGTGAAAAAGTAATTGCCCCCTAAACCTAATAACTGGTTGTGCCACCCTTGGCGGCAATGACTGCAATCAAGTGTTTGTGATAACTGGCAATGAGACTTTCACATCGCTGTGGAGGAATTTTGGTCCACACCTCTGCAGAATTGTTTTAATTCAGCCACGTTGGAGGGCTTTCCGGCACGAATGGCCTGTTTAAGGTCATGCCACAGCATCTCAGTCAGATTTAAGTCCAGACTTTGACTTGGCCACCAACCTTAATTTGGTTTTTTGGAGCCATTCAGAGGTGGACTTGCTGGTTTGTTTCGGATCATTGTGCTGCTGCATAACCGAAGTGCGCTCGAGCTTGAGGTCACGAGCTGATGGCCAGACATTCTCCTTCAGGATTTTCTGGTAAAATTCATGATTCCATCAATTATGGCAAGTCATCCAGGTCCTGAAGCTGTAAAGCAGCCCCAGACCATCACACCACCACCATGTGTGACTGTTGGTATGATGGTCTTTTTCGGAAATGCTAGATGTAATGAAACGCACACCCTCCAAAAAGTTCAACTTTTGTCTCATAAGTCCACAGAATGTTCGCCCAATAGTCTTGGGATAAACGAGATGTTTTTTGGCAAATAGACGAGCCTTTGTGCTCTTTTTGGTCAGCAGTGGCTTAGGCCTTGAAACTCTCCCATTTTTGTCCAGTCTCTTATTGTTAAATCATGAACACTGGCCTTACCTGAAGCAAGTGAGGCCTGCAGTTCTTTATATGTTGTTCTGGATTCTTTTATGACCTCCAAGAAGAGTAGTCCGTGTGTTCTTGGAGTCATTTTGGTAGGCCAGTCACTCCTGGGAAGGTTCACCACTGTTCCAAGTTTTCTTCATTTGTGGATAATGGCTCTCACCATAGTTTGCTGGAGTCCTGAAGCCTTAGAAATGGCTTTGTAACCCCTTTTCAGACTGATGCATGTCAGTTACTTTGTTTCTCATCTGTTTTTGAATTTCTTCAGATCGTGGCATGATGTGTTGCTTTTTTGAGATCTTTTAGCGTGCTTCAATTTGTCAGACAGCTGATTTCTTGATTCAACAGGTCTGGCAGTAATCAGGCCTGGGTGTGGCAAGTGAAATTTAACTCAGCATTCCAAAAAATGTGGTTAATCACAGTTCATTCATGAGATAGCAAGGGGAGGGGGCAATTACTTTTTCACATAGGGTCAGGCAGGTGTGGGCAGCTTTTTTCCCCTTAATAAATGTAATCATCGGTTTAAATACTGCATTTAAATTTACTCGTTTTATCTTTGTGTGACATATATGCAGGAAAAAAAAATCAGGGGGCAAACAAATTTTCACAGCACTGTAGGCCACTGAGATCTTGCACGTTTGCTCAGTTTTGCTGTTCATCTGCCTAGGTGCCTCAGATCTCAGTATCGATCCCTCTTCTATGGTCAAGGCCCCTCCCAAGCCTCTGTTGGCCCATCTCTGTGATGGTCAGCCTGCCTAGCCAATAGTGAGGTTTAGGGGACAAGGCCAGACTCTGGACAAGGGAAGCTGAGTTTGTATTGGTATTTGAGAGCACCCATACTAGGACAACGGACCTGACATGAGGGCATCTGTGATGTCTGCTATATGGTGCCAGCACTGGTTGATATACAGTGGGGAAAATAATTATAACTATTGTGAATAATCGATCCAACAGTTGTCTCCTCACCAAACTTCTTGCTGATGGTCTTGTAGCCCATTCCAGCCTCGTGCAGGTCTACAAGCTTGTCCCTGATGTCCTTTGACTGCTCTTTGATCTTGTCCATGGTGGTGAGGTTTGAATGGAAATAAGAGATTCTGTGGACGAGTTGTCATTAAGAGCACCTTCTTACATTGACAGGACTGATCTGTGTACCACCTGAGCACATAGCCAGTCTGTGGGAGCCAGAATTAATGTTGGGTGGTAGGGGATCAAACACTTATTTTACTCACTCAACTGCAACTCGATTTGTATCGTGTTTTTTTCTGGATTTTTAATTGATATTCTGTCTCCATCATTTAAATACACCTATCATAAAAAATTATAGACCCTTCATTTATTTGTAAGTGAGCAAACGTACAAAATCTGGAGGGGATCAAATTATTATTGTCCCTACTGTATAAGTGAGTAGTTCTCATTTCTGTATGTGTCTGTTGTTTTCTGTCTGTGTGTCCTGTACATTGCTCCTTTGTCTAATACAATGGGCCATATTTCTGTTCTTGTCCTCTCGGGATGCACAAGTTGGCCAAACATTCACTGGTGGTGCTGAGTGTTATCTCAAACAGGATTATCAGCCCTGCCCAGTTCGCCCCCTCTCCTCTTCTCCCAACATAAGGAGGTGGTGTTCTGTAGTCCACAGAGGTGACCTGGGCAGGGCTGATAATACTGCTTGAGATAACTGCACAGGACTGCACTGGATTTCTAGCAGGTCAACAGGTATTTTTTGCACTTCTCTAACAGAAATGACAAAAGTGAGTCCAAACCAAAAGACATGAACTTATTTTTTTTCTTTTTTTTGGCTCAGATAAGATACATCTGGTAACAACACAATGACAGCATTCTAACCAAAGCCTAATATCTCTATTAGTTTTGGCTGAGCCATTTAGAGGAGACTCTTGCCCAGTATTGGCCTGTTTCCAAATCAACAGGTCACCACTGAGTCTGATACCACCCAGTTTACCATACAGCCTGGTGTACACCATTCGCTATACAGGGGAGATTTACTAAAACTGGAGCACTCAGAATCAGGTGCAGCCGTGCACGGGAGCCAATCAGCTTCTAACATCAGTTTGTTCAATTACACTCTGACAAATATACCTGGAAGCTGATTGGATTCTACGCAGAGTGTTATCGAACTTTAGAATTAGTCTCCCGAGAGAAGTTTCACCTGAAAAATGTCCTGTAGATCCGTCTCGTCTGTAAATAATCGCACAATTCAGGAATCAGGCAGTTGGGACTCCTGATATGTCTAGTTGTCGGCAGATGGGATTGACCAATGTGCAGATACTCAGGTGAATGAAAAGATTTTCCGTGGGCCAGTTTGGTTTTGGGATGGATTCACTCATCGCTTTTCCCATGGTTTGCCTGTGTCTGTTAATGTAACCTGTTGTGTTGTGGTCCTTCTCAGTCTAACCAGCGTGTGTCTGGCTGTACTAATCTTGTAGCCACCTCTCTGTCTCTGCTTCTCAGACCTTCTGCCCTGTCTACCTGGTGAACATTTCCAGTATGTCAGCAGGTGATGTCATTGCCTCTGCCAAAATGCAAGGTGAGAACCCTCAGATGTGTGTGCGTGTTACCCGATCAATGGTTTACAGATCCAGGACTGTTCAGGATCACACCTGATTACCACAGCCATGCACAGTCACCAGATACATATCCAGATCACACCCATTTACTACGCTTATATCCAAATCACATCTGATCAGCAGACATCTATCCAGATCACATATACTCACTAGACTTCTATCCAGATCACATACACTCACTAGACTTCTATCCAGATCGCATACACTCACTAGACGTCTATCCAGATCGCATACACTCACTAGACGTCTATCCAGATCGCATACACTCACTAGACTTCTATCCAGATCGCATACACTCACTAGACTTCTATCCAGATCGCATACACTCACTAGACTTCTATCCAGATCGCATACACTCACTAGACTTCTATCCAGATCGCATACACTCACTAGACGTCTATCCAGATCGCATACACTCACTAGACTTCTATCCAGATCGCATACACTCACTAGACTTCTATCCAGATCACATACACTCACTAGACTTCTATCCAGATCACATACACTCACTAGACTTCCATCCAGATCACATACACTCACTAGACGTCTATCCAGATCACATACACTCACTAGACTTCTATCCAGATCGCATACACTCACTAGACGTCTATCCAGATCGCATACACTCACTAGACTTCTATCCAGATCGCATACACTCACTAGACTTCTATCCAGATCACATACACTCACTAGACTTCTATCCAGATCACATACACTCACTAGACTTCCATCCAGATCACATACACTCACTAGACGTCTATCCAGATCACATACACTCACTAGACTTCCATCCAGGTCACATACACTCACTAGACTTCCATCCAGATCACATACGCTCACTAGACGTCTATCCAGATCACATACGCTCACTAGACTTCCATCCAGATCACATACGCTCACTAGACTTCTATCCAGATCACATACGCTCACTAGACTTCTATCCAGATCACATACGCTCACTAGACTTCTATCCAGATCACATACACTCACTAGACTTCTATCCAGATCACATACGCTCACTAGACTTCCATCCAGATCACATACGCTCACTAGACGTCTATCCAGATCACATACGCTCACTAGACTTCCATCCAGATCACATACACTCACTAGACTTCTATCCAGATCACATACGCTCACTAGACTTCTATCCAGATCACATACACTCACTAGACTTCCATCCAGATCACATACGCTCACTAGACTTCCATCCAGATCACATACACTCACTAGACTTCTATCCAGATCACATACGCTCACTAGACTTCTATCCAGATCACATACGCTCACTAGACTTCTATCCAGATCACATACGCTCACTAGACTTCTATCCAGATCACATACGCTCACTAGACTTCTATCCAGATCACATACGCTCACTAGACTTCTATCCAGATCACATACAGTCACCAGATCACAGCCAATCACCTGTCGTCTATCCATATCACACTCTTATCAGATTTCTATCCAGATCACATCCAATCACCAGACTTACACTATATTGCCAGAAGTATAGGGACGCCTGCCTTTCCACACACATGAACTTTAATGGCATCCCAGTTTTAGTCCATAGGGTTCAATATTGAGTTGGCCCCGCCCTTTGCAGCTATAACAGCTTCAACTCTTCTGGGAAGGCCGTCCACAAGGTTTAGGAGGGTGTCTATGGGAAGGTTGGACCATTCTTCCAGAAGCACATTTGTGAGGTCAGGCACTGATGTTGGGGGAGGAGGCCTGGCTCCTCCTCCTCTGCTCCTCTCCCTCTTTCCATTGGGGTACCCCAAGGCTCTGTCCTTGGTCCCCTCCTTTTCTCTCTCTACACCTCCTCCCTGGGCCAATTGATAACTTCCAATGGCTTCCAATACCACCTCTATGCTGATGACACCCAGATCTATCTCTCCACTCCCCAGCTCACCCCCTCAACCTCCTCACATATCACAAATCTACTGAGTGACATATCAGCATGAATGTCACTCCACTACCTTGAACTCAATCTTTCCAAAACAGATCTAGATATAATTCTGGTGATTGTACGTGATCTAGATATAATTCTGGTGATTGTATGTGATCTAGATATAATTCTGGTGATTGTACGTGATCTAGATATAATTCTGGTGATTGTATGTGATCTAGATATAATTCTGGTGATTGTATGTGATCTAGATATAATTCTGGTGATTGTATGTGATCTAGATATAATGCCTACTACACACAATCAGAAAATGATACAAAAACTACCACTTTCAAAGCGATTGTATGATAATCTGATCGTTAGAAATCAGCTTTCATCCGAAATTATTTGAAGGGATAAGCACAAAAACATTTTCTCGTACGATACCAGATCGTACAATTTTTGTTTTAATCAGTACAGTTTTCGTCCAAAAATACAATACAAATACAATGCAATACATTACATCACTTCCAAATTTTTATTCTGTCGTAAAAGAATTTCCGTAACTTTAGTAACCTCTTCACTTTCAATATGAGGCTACAAGCAAAAAAAAAAAAAAAACCTGTCCTTAAGCCTGGTACACGCGATGAGAATATCAGACCAATGATCATCCGTTTTTTTTTTTTGTTTTTCATTTTTTGCATGCTAGTCTCATTTCACAAATGAATACGGTACTAAAGTTACAAAAATTCCTGTATGACCAAATACAACTTTGGAAGCGATGTATTGTATTGTATTTTTTCACTTCTGAGCATGCATGGTCTTAGTGTTTTTTTCAGATGAATACTGTACTGATTAAAATATCGTACGAGAAAAATTTTCATCCCTTCAAATAATTTCGCATGAACTGTCATGATCGGCTCTCGAAAATTATGCACTAACATTCAGATTATTTTACGATCGATTCAAAAGTGGTAGTTTTGCATCCGATTTTCTCGTGTATAATAGGCATAATATCTAGATCACATACAATCATCAGACTTGTGTCCAGATCACACCTATTCACCAAACTCAAAATTAAATCACAGCCAATGCTGGACTCTTATGTAAATCACGCCTAAATCAACAGATCATCATTATGTCTGTTTACTAGTGTTATACAAGATCACACCTAATCACCAGTAATGTGCAGGTTCATACCTGATCACCAATAATATACAAGATCACACCTAATCACCAGTAACATACAAGATCACACCTGATCACCAATAATATACAAGATAACACCCGATTACCAGTAACATACAAGATCACACCTGATCAACAGCAACATGCAGGTACATATCGCCTGTACCATACAAGATCACACCTGATCACCAGCCACATACACATTCATATCCGATCACCAGTAACATACAAGATCACACCTGTTTACCAGCAACATGCAGGTTCATACCCGATCACCAATAATATACAAGATAACACCTGATTACCAGTAACATACAGATTCATACCCGATCACCAGCAACATGCAAGATCACACTTGATCACCAGCAACATATAGATTCATAACTGATCACCTGTAACATGCAAGATCACACTTGATCACCAGCAACATACACATCACATTCATACCCGATCACCAGTAACATTCAAGATCACACTTGATCACCAGCAACATACACGTTCATACCCGATCACTAGTAACATGCAAGATCACACTTGATCACCAGCAACATACACGTTTCATACCCGATCACTAGTAACATGCAAGATCACACTTGATCACCAGCAACATACAGATTCATACCCGATCACCAGTAACATACAAGATCACACCTGATCACCAGCAACATGCAGGTACATATCACCTGTACCATACAAGATCACACCTGATCACCAGCAACATACACATTCATATCCGATCACCAGTAACATACAAGATCACACCTGTTTACCAGCAACATGCAGGTTCATACCCGATCACCAGCAGCATACAAGATCACACATGATTACCAGCAACATACACATTCATACCCGATCACCAGTAACATTCAAGATCACACTTGATCACCAGCAACATACACGTTCATACCCGATCACTAGTAACATGCAAGATCACACTTGATCACCAGCAACATACACGTTCATACCCGATCACTAGTAACATGCAAGATCACACTTGATCACCAGCAACATACGGATTCATACCCGATCACCAGTAACATACAAGATCACACCTGATCACCAGCAACATGCAGGTACATATCACCTGTACCAAAGAAGATCACACCTGATCACCAGCAACATACACATTCATATCCGATCACCAGTAACATACAAGATCACACCTGTTTACCAGCAACATGCAGGTTCATACCCGATCACCAGCAGCATACAAGATCACACATGATTACCAGCAACATACACATTCATACCCGATCACCAGTAACATACAAGATCACACCTGATTACCAGTAATATACATATTCATACCTGATCACCAGTAACATACAAGATCACACCTGAGCACCAGTAACATACAAGATCACACCTGATCACAAGTAACATACAAGATCACACCTGGTCACCAGTAACATACAGATTGATACCTGGACACTGCTGTCATGAAGGGTCACACCCAATCATCAGAACTGTATTCAGATCACACCTGAACACTGCTGTTATAACGAGTTAAACTAGATCCTCAATGTCATAGATCATTGCACCAGTCCTACAGGATCACACCTGATTACTAGTGTCATACAAGGTCACACTAAATCACAAGGAGCTGATATCATCTGTGTCATATAGGGTCACACTGATTACTAGCATCATACCATATTACCAGTCATAGAGAATCACATCTGATCACCAGGATCTTACAGGATCTCACCTGATCACAGGTACTGTTCTGGCCTTCAAGTCATCTGTAGGAAGGAACAGTTCCACATATAAGGATCTCATATCATTTTAGTGACCCTGGGTGTGTGGTTTTTGCTATAGATATAATCTGTGTGTCCAGAATGACTTTTGCATTGTAATAATGAAGAAATCAATTGTAACCTCCAGGAAAGATTGTCTATGGGGAGACCACCACTGCCCACTCTACCCTGAACGGTCTCCACTACTACCACCAGGAGTGGTCACATGCTGCAGCCTACGTCACCATCCCTCCGCTCCGGCTGGACCCCAACACTCCCAACTACCTCATGAGCTTACTGGCCAAGTAAGTGAGGGCATGGTGGCCCTAATCTACCTTCCCTACGTACATAAAAAGTTCTCTTGGTTGTAAATGTAAAGCCACAAAAGATCTCCTTATAGCTGATGTCAGGATTATTTTACGCTAATGAAAGAAAAAGCGTTGTGCTGTCAGGAAAATGTCTAATTCAATATATAGTATATAAACAGAATATAGTCCATAACAAACAAATTAAAGTCCTATAAACAAAATATCAAAGTCCACCAAAAGTATGCAAAATCTTCATGCAGCAACTGTGCACCTACCACCAAGTGATTATAATTCTGCTTACCAAATCCTTAGACCCCACAACTGAAGAGGTCTAAATGAGCATTTAAAAGATGACAGATCCCAGATGGATAGCTGGCTCCAGCTCTCTTCCTTTCACAACTCAGCAAGCGTCACTCTCTCATGAATGACATGCCCCAAAAGTGGTCACTGGATTGCTTCTCATATAGCAGTCTCAGCAGAAAAAAACACATACCATGGAAAAACCAAGGAAATTCCATAGTGAAGTACCCTTTAAAGACATTTATCAATAAACCAAGTGGGTACTCACAAAACAAATAATATGACAGGCATATCCTACAGCACCATCGAATCTCCCGGCAGGCATGATGATGTCACTGCTAAACATTCCTTACGCACGTTTTGTCCAGTGGGATGTCTTCCAACAGAGACTCTGTTGATTCCTTGGAAGACGTCCAGTTGGACGAAACATGCGTAGGGCAGAGTTTAGCGGTGACATCATCACGCCTGCCGGGAGATTCGATGGTGCTGTAGGATATGCTTGTATATAGTATAATTTGTAGAAAAATGTCATGCCTGCCACTTGAAAATGTGTGGCCACATAGTTTTTACCAAAAAAAATATCCAAAAAGATTCTTTGCCGCATAGTCCGTGGAAAACATCCCCACCTCAAGTCTGTGGATCAATCCTTTCTACACAAAGGGGGAGATTTACTAAAACTGGAGAGTACAAAATCTGGTGCAGCTATGCAAAGTAACCAATCAGCTTCTACCTTCAGCTTCTTCAGTTAAGCTTTGACAATAAAACCTGGAAGCTGATTGGTTTATATGCAGAGCTGCACCAGATTCTGCACACTCTCTAGTTTTAGTAAATCCCCCCCCCTCCCAAAGATATGTTGAAAAACTGCAATCTACAAAATGCCTGGTCACATTGGTTGATTTGTGGTTTTTAATAACCTCTTAACCAGAGGTCTCCAAACTGCGGACCTTTGCTTGCCTTTCTCCAGCCCATTGGGACACTGATCTTCCCACTGATGAGAGAGACTACTCTGCCAACTGATATCACCATTTCTCTCACTGATGCCAACAATGGGGCTGTATTCTTCCCAAAGATACCAACGATGGGGCACTATTCCTCCCCCAAACGTGGTGATGTTTTCTCTCACTGATGCCAAGGAAATTCCCAATCCTGCTGGCCACAGTCCGGCCCCCCTAAATTCTGAAGGACCATAAATTGGCTCTTTGTTTAGAAAGTCTGGAGACTCCTGCCCTAAACAATCTCCTGTCCTTCAAATGTCTAGACATTGAACATACTGGAAATTGCATCCTTGGCATGTGAACGAATATTCAGTGTTCTATGTATTACTATGTACTGTGTATATACTGAATATATTTGAGGTTCACCTGTGCCCAGACTATGGACATTAAACGATTTTTCATAATAAGCAGTAGCAGGGATTTCAAGCCCAACTCCATGTTTACGTTCACTTGGGCTAAGCTGGCCTAAACAAACTATTGCCTCTACTAATTGCTGCGACCGTTGTCATCGCTTTATAAAATGTATGTAGTAGCATCAGCTACGTACAGGATAGAGCAACACATTCCTGCCGCAGTACAAGGACTTCCCATCTGCTGCCGAAACAAAATTGAGTTCTCCAGAGTGTCAGCCCGGGTGTCAGGAGCCTACAAATGTTGAAGTATCTTCCGGACACTCATTAGAACTGAAGAGGTGGCTTGGAGAAGCTACAAAATGTCCTCAACATTACAGAACATTTACCGGCGCCTCGTGGGAAAGGTCCAATCGATCAGGACCTTTCCAATTATGTGACCGCCAATCACAGCGATCACATGACCCTAAACCCTGCCCCCCGACTCCCAGCTTCACAAACCACCTAAAGGGCCTGGAGCAGGGGTGGTCTGACCATTTGGAAACTGAGGGCCCGGGGTCAGTAGGGGGCCCCATGAGATGCCCCTGGTACCTTTTTCATAGGCTTTTTTGAGTTTGGGCAAGGACACAGGGGTCATGATGATCCCCTATTGCCCGGAGGCCCCATGAGTTGTCAGCCCGCCCCTGGCCTGGAGGCGTCGGCCACAAGGGGTAGAGTGGAGCTTTAATTACCAACTATACATACCTTCCTGTCATCTTCAGCCAAGTGGCTTCTGGGCACCAATCTCCGACCGTTTTAATTGGCAGGGCCCAGGTGACATCACTATCACGCACTACCAAAAATTGTACGCGTCTACAGAGGCAGACAGGTAGGTAAGAAACTTTCAGGCAGAAGGACATAGGGCTTGATTTACTAAAGGCAAATAGACTGTGCACTTTTCATGTGCAGTTGCTCCCATTTTCTTTAGTAAATGTGATGTGGTAAAGTTTCACTTTGTAAAGAATACCCAATCAGGTGTAGGGAAAATTAAAAAAACCAAAAAGTGTTTTGATTGGATTATGGAAATCAGCAAAGCTTTAGCACATTTGCTAAGCTCTGGGGAAAATGAGTACAACTGCAGTTGCAAAGTGCACAGTCTATTTGCCTTTAGTAAATCCATTCCATAGTGTGTCTTTTCTGCATTAAAAATCCTGCTTGCCCCCCTACTTTTCACTGAAAGATCCACTTTAATATGCTTGGTTTCTACCAAATTTTGGGAATAGTCTGCACTTTTCTCGCTACCATCCTGACTTCTTTGGAAATTATCTTTATTTAACCTGTACCACCCGACATTATATGGTATATACACTATATTGCCAAAAGTATTGGGCCGCCTGCCTTTCCACTCACATGAACTTTAATGGCCTCCCAGTCTTAGTCCGTAGGGTTCAATATTGAGTTGGCCCCGCCCTTTGCAGCTATAACAGCTTCAACTCTTCTGGGAAAGGCCGTCCACAAGGTTTAGGAGGGTGTCTATGGGAAGGTTGGACCATTCTTCCAGAAGCACATTTGTGAGGTCAGGTACTGATGTCGGGGGGAGGAGGCTGGCTCACAGTCTCCGCTCTAATTCATCCCAAAGGTGTTCTATGGGGTTGAGGTCAGGACTCTGTGCAGGCCAGTCAAGTTCCTCCACCCCAAACTGGCTCCATCCATGTCTTTATGGACCTTGCTTTGTGCACTGGTGTGCAGTCATGTTGGAACAGGAAGAGGCCATCCCCAAACTCTTCCCACAAAGTTGGGAGCATGAAATTGTCCAAAATGTCTTGGTATGCTGATGCCTTAAGAGTTCCCTTTACTGGAACTAGGGGGCCAAGCCCAACCCCTGAAAAACAACCCCACACCATAACCCCCCCTCCAGCAAACTTTACACTTGGCACATTGCAGTCAGGCAAGTACCATTCTCCTGGCAACCGCCAAACCAGACATCGGATTGCCAGACAAAGAAGCGTGATTGGTTACTCCAGAGAACACATCTCCACTGCTCTAGAGTCCAGTGGTGGCGTGCTTTACACCACTGCATCTGACGCTTTGCATTGCACTTGGTGATGTAAGGCTTGGATGCAGCTGCTCGGCCATGGAAACCCATTCCATGAAGCTCTCTACACACTGTTATTGTGCTAATCTGAAGGCCCACCAAGTTTGAAGGTCTTTAGCTATTGACTCTGCAGACAGTTGGCGACTTCTGTGCACTGTGCGCTTCAGCATGCACTGACCCCGCTCTGTCATGTGACGTGGCCTACCACTTGGTGACTGAGTTGCTGTTGTTCCCAGTTGCTTCCACTTTGTTATAATCCCACTAACAGTTGAGCGTGGAATATTTAGTAGCCAGGAAATGTCACGGATGGACTTATTGCACAGGTGACAACCTATCACGGGACCACGCTTGGAGTCACTGAGCTCCTGAGAGCGACCCATTCTTTCACCAATGTTTGTAGAAGCAGTCTGCATGCCTAGGGGCTTGATTGTATACACCTGTGTCCATGGAGGGGATTGGAACACCTGAATCACATGATTTGGAGGGCGGGGGCCCAATACATTTGGCAATACAGTGTAGTATATGCTATCTACAAATGATGTCCTGAATGAATCCCATGATGAAAGGGGTGCTAATGATGGATTCCGTGTCCTCTGAAGTTACTATATGCCTTAAGCTGGCCTTACAATTTTCCATCTAATATGAGGTCAACCTAAACACTTTTGATTTGTATGCAATCAGGCAGGCCACTACATAGTTGAAGGTAAATCTAAAGGAAACTGCGTAAGATTGTATAGTGTATGGCTAGCCTTAGTTATATTTCTGTCCTTTTTTAACCTCCCTGATGGTATTCCCGAGTGTAGCTCGGGGTAAAATGTCAGTACCAAAAGTGGTAACCCCGAGCTACACTCGGGCTTACCATGCGGCGCTGCATAGGGAGTCCCTGCAGAGCTTACCTTGTCCTTCGCTCCCCCGCGATGTGTCCCCTGCAGCGTCCCCGGCCATCTCCTCCGGCCGATGCCGGCATCCGGCTTCTGTGTTTCCGGTCCCTGTGATGTCGGGACGTACGAGCGCCGCCAGCGGCGGGAAACTTGAAAATTTTAAAATTTTTTTTTATTTTTTTCCAAACAAATTTTACATAGTAAAACATTGCTGTATCAAACCATTTCACATACATTTTGTCCCGAGTGCTTTGTCCTGTCCCCTGTCTGCATTTTGTCTGTTCTTTCTGCCTGGAAACTGAGAAACGTCCATGGCGTCCAAAAAGTGTCCCTTTAGGTCAAAATTAGTTTTAGACCGGCTAGAGAACAGCGATAGTAAATCAGAACCACTTGCAGA